CTTAGAGCCCCTCAGCAGGGTTGGGAAGTTAGCTCAGGCGAGCTGCTGCAGCCCATTGCTTTCCCAGTTAAAATGCTGAGTGGAGTCTCGCTCTCAATAACAAAACTAAGTCCAGAGTAAAAGAAGAATCGTTTGTTACAGTTCTTGCAAGAAGTGGGTGCGCCCCCTGAAAGGAGAGGCACATTGTACAGAATCGAAAGCCAGCTTTTATACTGTTATGATCCTGCTCCTCCCATCAGAGCTAGGATTAGTCCTAGCCCTTCCAGGTTACAATCTTCTTTATCCCCCCATCCCATGTTGCTCCATGACATGTTATCTACCCAGATCATATATCCCATGTTCAAAAATGGTGGCAGTCTCTGCCCTCGGGGTGTGTCAGATAATATGTATGAGGCTTATTAAGCATGCACACTTGCAAAAAAGCTGGTGCCAGGTCCTTGACCCCAACTGGTTTGAGCTGTTTTAGGGTCTGGGTCCCTTTAACAGGAACTTTGTGGTTAAACTAGTTTCTTCCTTCAAGATCTGATTGGCTGGGGCAAGCCTCCCCTTTCCTTCAGGGCTCCCTGTTTCACCATCCTGTGTAAGCCAAACATCAGCACATTTATTACACTGCCTTAAAACAACCACTCAAGAATTGATAGGCTTATTTAAAAAAAAATAATGAGGACGTAGGAACCTGTGCTAGCCATCTTCCCTCTTCTTTCCACTGTGGTTACTAACACCTCAATTTTTAACATTTGGGTACTGGCGTCAAAAACGGATAAAAACAAGTGAGGAAATTTAGGTGGACGTCCTCAATATAACAGTAGAGTTACTCAGGTCAAGAGACAGTGAATTAAGCAAATGTGGCTTTTTCTTCCACTTTGGGAAGTTGAAAGATTTTACTTTGAAATTAGACAATAGAGAAACCTAAAAGTACATTATGTGCTTCTTTTTGTGCTGCCTTTTTGAGATATATTCTTGAGTTTCTCTCTTAATATAGTTCTTTACTGTTTACAAAATGCTTTGCATATGTATTATCCCATAATTATACTATATCATTTGAGATCTCATCATTTTTCAGTTTTGTAGATTTAATATTTTCATCACAGCTTTATTGTACCTCTTATTAATTATTGTTATCATTTATTTGAAATAATTTTCATCTTTTTTGTGTGCATATATGTGTTTATTACAACTTTTTTATATTCAACTAATAAGGAATTTACCTTCTCTTTTTTTATTCCTTTTATTTGAACTGAACTTGTGATTTCTTCAGTATAAGAAGCCTGCTGGTGAGAAACTACCTTTACTATGCAGATCATCACTTTTTACTCATGTTATAAAGAGTTGCCTGGGGCACTGATAGGTTATCTGATTGGTCCAGGGTCATACAGCTAGAAGCAGCATTTGAATGCATTTTTTGTCCTGTCTCTTAATCTGCTACTCTGTGCTCTCTTCTTACTCCATATAATTTTTATTTTTTAAGTTTAAAGTTTACATCACTTACTTGAGGAATGAAAATTTTATTTTATGCTTTAAAACATAGGTCCATTTTCCAGTATTAACATTGTAATGATTGACCCATCTATGGGTTGTTCTTTTGTTTTTGGTGGATTTTCTTAGTACTTTGCGGTTTAAATTACCTTTCATACTTTAGTGAAATGGCCAGCTAATAGCAAAGAAAAAAAATCTTATAAAGGGCAAAATTGAACAGACCAAATACTTAAAAGAAATTAGGCATTACCTCAATGAAATTTGATTATGGTCAAGTAAAAAAATTTCAATAAAAGCTAAAAGTACAATAGAGACCCATCTTTAATTTTGTTATTTACTCTCACTTAATGGTTATGTCTGATTTTTTTTTTTAATATGGAGACAATTTTAAATTTTTGCATAGGGCGTGGGACTAGATGATAGATGTCCAGTGTCCTTTCTAATTCTGATATTATATGAATCTCTTTTTCTCCTTCCTTCCACATCCAAGTGGAGTCGTAGGAAAAGCTTGGATGGTCTTGGCAAGAAAACTAAGTAATACTTGCCACCTATAGTTCCAATATAGTTTGTTTGTTCCTATTTTAATTGCTAAAAATGGCAACTAAATGGCACTTCTAGGACCGCTGTTGGAATTGCAATCTAAAGTCTTAGGCAATTCCCTTTGTTCCCATTAAAATTAAAGGTATTTGCCTATGCTATCCATGTTCTAATCTCTGATTTTGCAAAGATTAGAAGCTCTATGGTAATGAATGATGCTATATATTATCACCTCTACCTCCTACCTTGGCTAATTTCTCAGAAGTGACTTTGATGCTAGTAAGTATGGGAACGTGTGGAAAACTGGAGATTGTTACAGGGGTGTGAGTGTGTATGTTGTGAACTAAATTCTTACTGAAAAGGCATCCTGGTCAGAAATGACAAAAAAAAAATGCATTTTTCAGTATATTAATGGCTGTATTGATTTGGGCTCTGTCTCCTCTTGTACTTCTTAGAGCCTTCTCATGCCGTGTAATTTTCGTCTGTAGCTTTTCAAGACTTTCCTATAGAGTATCTGCCTTGTATACCAAAGGCTTACTTCTGTGTCTATCATGGATATAAATGCAATACTCAAGCCATCAACCTAGTCACTTTCATTTTTGCTGTTGCCCTCCTTAGAAGGAAGTCATTCATATTCTTAATAATGTCTTTTATTCCACTTCTTGTGTGCAAGTCATCTTTTTAATAAACTGTAGCCTTGATAGTTTTCCTAGAAGTGACCTTAATAATAGTAAAGTATGTAATTTCCCCCCCACTTTTCTACTCCCCTCTCCTTTTGCATCTTACCGCTACTCTTTGGGTCACCTGCCAGTTTTAATTCATTTGAGATCATGGAACTAATTGCCCAGGAATTGTATTGTTGCCTTTTTCCAGTGTCATTGTGTTAGGTGTTTTATGTAGCCTTTCTTTATGAACCCCACTACCTTTGCCAAAGTCATTCATTTTTTAAAAAAAGAGTGAAAATCATGGAGGTAAGATTAATTTTCGTAGAATCAAGAGTACTTTTTTTGTTTATTTTAACCTTGTAAAATACAGTGATCTAATTTATGTGCTATTTTTAGAATGTGCCTTAATATAATCATTTAACTTAATATATAATCATTATAATATTTTTTCTGAAAATCCACATTTTTATTTTTCTTTCAGGACCTTGTTTATTCAAATGTTTAAATAAAAATGGACCTTGTATATATATCATGATATTTCTTTGGAAAACCAACATAGACACCATTTTGCTTGGTTTTGCAAGGAAAGTGCTTTGTAAATTTTAATGTGCCGTATAAAAATGAGCTGCTATTTTTCTTTCTGTCTGCTTATTGATTCAATTTTGTTTATAAAGAAAATAGGTCAGGATTGAAGTCTATGATCTAATAATGCGCATTAAAGAGTAGCAAATAAGTCTACTGTGCCTGTGTTGACTTTTATCTTCTCTTGTGTTATGTTCATTTAAGATGGTTGCTGTCTTCATTAAGTTTTGTAAGCACATACCAATGGTGTATTTTAAAAATCAACTTTGGAGATCATATTCACTAGCAGCACTGATAACTCTGCTACTCTCAAAAACACTGTTTTGTGAACAGTTGACTAATTTACCAATCATTAGCAAACATTAGCTTAAAAAGGTTAAAACCATTTCACTTTTACATATGGTATATGTGTTACTCCTATTAAAATAACAAATCATAAGATTGTTTTCATTTGAAGTTTAGTAAACATTGATTCATATCTATTAAGAGTAACAATTGTTGATGGCCACATTAGATTGGTGTTACAGTTGTTCTTTTGTATTAATGAAACTCTTAGTATCTTGAATACTTTCTTACCAAAAGGGTTGCTTCTATATGGAAGAATGCTTTTAACAAATTATTGGCCTCAGTTAACTGCCTATGCTGTTTTCAGTTTTGCTAAAGTGTGCAGCTAGGCTGGGTTGTTAGGGGGTTTTTTTTGTTGTTGTTCTAGTGCTTGTGAAGTGTCCTCATGTAATTGGTTTTCCAATTAACTCTGCTTATAGAGGTTGCTTTATATTTTTACTCATATAATATGTCTAACATTTAACTTCTAAGTTTACAGTTTTATATCTGCATAGTAAATTAAATGCTGTTTTTTTAAACAGAAGAATAAAAATTTTAAGTAGAAGCATCCAGTTTTCTTCTCTTTTTTGTTAAAATTCAATTTTATTTTAATTATTATTAAAATTAACTCAATGTATATTAATATAGCACACTCAGAAATTGAATTAGGAAATCTTATTACAGTATAAAAGCTGCTATAATATAAGTTGTTCCCTTACCTAGATAAATAAATGACCAATATTGTTGGAGCTATAAGCAGCAAGGAAAAAAAATGGAAGAAGTCTTTTATCCTAGTTTTTAGAGGGCATCAGCAGCTTGCTTTTATGAAAAAGTAACAGCTAAATGCACTGCAAATAATTTGCAGTAATCCAGTTCAGTGATTCATGTGTCTGCTTTAATGGGTCATAATTCAGGGTAAAGTAACTGAGTGCAGTCAGAGTGCAGACACTGCTTATGCCAGGGACAGTATCTCTTCATAAAACACACCTCAGCAGAAGCGGTTTGCCAGCCCCCTAATACCCTCTGATGTTTTGATGTCCTGCATATTTTTCCGATTAAGTTTTGAGTGCCATGTTTTTAGTTGTATTTCCACATTCATTATCCTCACGTAGACCCTTCAGCGGGTTTGCCATATATGATTATTTTTTTAATGATGCCTTTCTTTCCACTTCAGCAGTTTAATAATCTAGCACATGGCTGCTTCTCAGTACTAAGCATTCACCTCCCCAATACAGAGGAGGACATGTGCTTTGGCTTCAAAATTCCATTTGCAGTGTTAGAAATGCATATTCCCTATGGAACAACATTTGCTTGACATAACCATTCATTTTTATTACCTCTTTAAATATGTTTATCCAGAGTTATCAATAATCATAAATAACTGTATTCTTTTCTTGTTCTGTTTTTTTCTAACAGACAAAATTGCTTACCCAATATATATTAAATCTTGGCAAGTATGACCAAAACTACGACATCAGAGACCGTACAAGATTTATTAGGCAGCTTATTGTTCCGAATGAGAAGAGTGGAGCCTTAAGCAAATATGCCAAAAAAATATTTTTGGCACAAAAGCCTGCCCCATTGCTTGAATCTCCTTTTAAAGGTATGCTTTCAAGAATAATTGCTAAACCTATATTTTGTAAAGAAATAGGGCATTAAGTCCTATTTCAAATGTGCTTTAAGAATGTTACTTAGCAAATATAAATTATTAACATGAAAATATGTAAGAACAATATGCTTTCCACTCACCTGCCTTTAGGATTTGTTTTATAGTAATAAGCATTTTAGATTTGTGTGTGTTACACATCTTAGATTCAGAATGATTTTGAAAACATTGATTTAAGTTTTAATCAGGTAGGTTTTGAATTTGGTTTGAATAATAGAAAAAACTGTAGGCGCCTATAAGGTATTAACTTCACTTCTGTTTAAATAGATGTCTTTATCATTTAAAGAAAATGGTTTCCCATAAGAGTAAAATATTAGTGATTATATAGTAGCATTTCAAATAAAAATTATTTTTTTAAAGGCAATAACCTCTTCATATTTGATTTTCTTTTTCAGAGAAAGGAGAAGTTCACATATTTTCCTTTAATTTTTAAAAGCAGCAGTTAAATATTTTACCAACTTAACTGATCACCTTACTTGGAAATAAATTCTTATCCACCTCACTTTTCATATTATTTATTATTTAATATTCATATTCCTTAAAGTGGCAAAAAGATCTCAGTGTTGGTAAAAAAACACAAAAACAAAACAAAAAACAATGAACTATTAAAATTCTAGATGTGTTTGTTCCAAGACATGTATATGGATTGTTTAACCATGCTGTCATTCTTAATATTCACAGTAAAGTAATTTTTAGAGAAGCTACATTTCAGAGCAACACCTCTAAACACACTGACTGATTAGCTTTTTTATTGACCATTATGGGGGAGATTATTGTAATCTATGGACTAAAATCAGTTTTTTGACCTATGAAGAGCTTCCTATTTTATATTTATTCCATGACATTTCAGGTAATATGCCAATTACCTTTAGCCCTGATTAGGATTGCTCTTTGTGATACAAAGTGCATGTTGTTTATTGTATACTTTCCTCTCTTGCTATTAGACAGGGATCATTTCCAGCTTGGGACCTTATCCCACACTCTGAACATTAAAGCTTCTGGGTACCTGGAGTTGTCTAATTGGCCAGAGGTGGCGCCTGACCCTTCAGTTAGAAATGTAGAAGTGATTGAGTCTGTAAGTTGATCTTTCTAAAAGTAATTTTTGTCAAGCATTCCAAAAATATTTCATTTTGAAATTTTTAATTAAGATGTATTATTTTAATAATTTTGTGTGTGTGTGTGTGTGTAACTTTTGTAGTCACTAAAGACAGGTGTTTCTCTTGACAATATATGTGTAATAACTTTTTCTTAAAGAAGTGAAAAAAAAAAGTTGACTTTTGTAAAGAATGTACCTTTAAAAGAATGTTTAGCTGGGTGAATTTAGTTTCCATGGTGTTCACATTCATTGGCATGATCTTTTCCCTTTGTTTTGTAAGCTTCATGTCAACATTTTTCTAAATTTTGTCCAGTGCCCTTCCAGTAAAAATATATATAGCCCTTTTCTAGTTTTTCTGCTGTACCTAATCAAGTGATGATTTCACATAATAGAATGTTCCTAATGAAACCTGGAAATGTGCAATGTTTTATACTGATGTCCTTAGAGGACACAATGTCAAATTATTAATGTGCTTTTATGTTGCTTTTACATCATGCATTTTGTTTTTGTTAGACCTTCTATACAAATCCTTGTCTTTTTTCCTTAAAAGCAAAAACAAGTGTGCACATTTGACCTTTAATAAGGTCAAAAGACTGATGTTCTAAACTCAATAATAATACCTTGTTGCAGGAAATGGAGAAAACAGATTCTCTGGCTATTACTAAAAATTAATTCTATGTAGCTAGCAAGTTTTTAAAGTAGATACAGATAGAAAAAATAATTTCCCTGTTCCATTCTAAAGGCTCTGGATTCAGGAAGCCTGTATTAATCTGCCCTGAAGTTTCTCAGTTTTCTCAGGCATTATAGAACAAGTATTACTAGTATATGAAGGATATTTATTATAAGGATAAATTTTGTAAATAGTTGCTTATCTTTATTTTTTCTATCTTATTTCTCCTCAAAACAGTTGGGGCTCTCCACCACTAGGAAAGGTTTTCAGAGCTGAAGTTCTCAGGCCTGAAGCAACACCTCTTGCCCCTCTCTGGCCTTGTTCATAGATTACTTTGATTCATGTGGCTTCCCTCCAGTGCATTCACAACAGCCTTCTTGGCTACAGCTTCAGTAGGCAGAGGAGAGAAGCTTTATCAAATAACATTTGAATGGCTAAGAAAACATATGGTATTTTAGAAACTCGCTGCTAGGCCTCTATAGCAGACCACCCTTGCTGGGAATATGAATTTTCACCTGTGAAACCCTTTTTCAATGAAAGTAGATATAAAAAAGGCCCATATTTATTGGCAAAACGAAGATAGAGTTTTATACAATGGAAGCATATACTTTGAGACTTTTAAATTTGTTTCCTCTGAAATAAAATCATCTAATACAATTACCATCTAACATTTACTCATCAAAATCAGAAAAGATCAGAGTAGATTTTCAAAGCTAGCTGCCCATATTATTTGTGAGCACATATAGTATATGTGTATGTGTATGTATGTATGCATGCATACATATATGTTTATAGAAATTTCCCAAAAGGCAAATTAATATTGTGTAGTTTGTATCGAGATCTATATCTAAAATTTTTTTAGAAATGTTTTTTGTTTCCTTTTTATATTAGTCATTTCTAGAAATTACCCCCATCACTATCATTCATCATGTGTGCCCAAACAATAATAATTCAGCAAAACCAACCAATAGTATATCATCCTCTGATATCATATACTAATCCTTAACCCCCCCCCCCAAAGGGAGGGACTTTATTATCTCTTCCATTTGTCAAGATTAGTAACTATAGTTACTCCATATTTAGCTTGTAGTCACATGTATGATTTTCCTGGTATTGCTTGTTTGACTTTCCACCAGTTCTTCCCATTTTTCTCTGAATTCCTCATATTTGTCATCTCTTATGATGCAATGAAAATCAGTTCCATTAGTGTAACACAGTTAATTTAGCCATTCCTCAGTTGAATTTCTATGTTGTTTTTGTCACCCCAGAAAGATAATAGTTGAAAAGTGCTATTTAAATTTGAACAGGGAAAAATTCTGACTCCAAAGTAATGCTTTCTTTTATATTCCGTTTGAAGACAAATTAATATAGTCAGGAAATTAATGGTGCTGTTGTTGAACATACTTAAGACATTTCCTAAATTTTTAGGCAGTTAACAGTTATCAAATGCTCATTACTTCCTGCAACAGAGATGTTCTAGTCTACCTCAAACTTATATACTATTAATTTCTTTAAGAATTATTGCCTTAATACATAATAATGCCCTGATATCAGAAGGCAAAGATGAATGTTTTCCTTTTGGTCCTTTTTGTATGACATATATGTGTAATTTGTCCCCCATTATAAAGGTGGTTTTCCAGGCTGCTCCTACATATAGCTCTGATTTTTTAAAATCATGTAATTACACTAATTTAGGGAACTTTCACTGAGGGAAACCCCCAGCGTTGATGGGTTGATGCTCTCTTACACTGTTAAAGAGTTGCTTCAGGCATAAAGCAGTTAACTTACCCAGAGCTAGTAGATGTCTGGGTATAATTTGAACCCAAGTCTTTCTGACTCCAAGACTATTTAATATCCCCAACGCTAAGCTGTCTTTTGTCCCTTATTTAGTGCAAAATATGTTTAGTCTTAATCATTCATTCCTGGATGGTTGTAGTGTGTTCAGTCTTCTCAGTTGTGTCTGACTCTTGGTAACCCCATTTCGAATTTTCTTGGCAAAGATGCTGGAGTGCTTTGCCATTTCCTTTTCCATCTCATTTTATAGATGAGGAACTGAGGCAAACAAGGGTAAGTGACTTGTTCAGGGTCACAAAGCTAGTAAGTATCTGAGGCCAAATTTAAACTCAGGAAGATGAATCTCTCTGACTTCAGGCCCAGTGCTTTATCCACCGAGCCATCTAGCTGCCCCCCATTGTTTGTCATACTCTGGTATATAATAATAATCATAATAACAATAATAATAATAATGAAAATAACAATGATGATGATGTTAGCAACAATAACAACATTTATGTAGTACTTACTATGTGTCAGGCATTCTGCACTTTACAATTATTGTTTCATATGATCCTTACAACAACCCTAGGAGGTGGGTGCTATTACTATCCCCATTTTACAGATGAGGAACTGAGGCAAACTAAAGTTAAGTGACTTGTCCAGGATCACACATATAGGGAGTTATCTGAGGCAGCATTTGAACTCAGGTCTTCCTGACTCCAGACCCAACACTCCATCAACTGTGCCACTTATCTGGTCCCTAGGAGGTTACAGTATCTTGGTAATGACCAATAACAGTGCTACCTTGATTCAAATTTTGTTTAGCAATACTGTTGTTTTGTTTTCACATTTTTGTTGTGAATTCTCCCTCTTCAGCTTGGCTTATGTCCATATTTCAGTGGTTTTCTTCTATTGTCATCTGCCAAGACTGATGAATCCAAATTGCCATGAGCAGCCTTTTGTTTTCATTGAACTAACTATTCTCCAAGATTTCATCACTAATGACTTTTTATTGACATTTGAAGTGCTGAGTAAATATTGATGATCAGAATTGTTCCAGAAGCAGAATGTGGTCTTCAGACCACAACAAGGCTTCTGTTTCTTTGCAAAATTGTCATATCACATGTTGCCATTTAGTTATTTGTCTTTGGTAATCTTTCAAACTTTTTGGCTTAAAATTGTAGTATTAAAGACAAATTTCAGGATGAAAAGACAAAATACATTCTTTTTTTATATGCAACTGTAATATTAATGAAAATCTGACATTTTCTTCCCTGCCTCCATCCCTCTTTATCCCCTCCAATAACAAATTGGATTTTAATGAACTTTGTGCACATAATGCCCTAGATTTTTCAGAGTTGATATTCATGCTTCATTATCGTTTATAGATCCAGAAACTTCTTATTGAACTTTTTCCTCAGGAAATCTTAGTATGAAAAAAATCAAGATCTTTCTATTTTAATTTAATTGACCTAACAGTGTAAAACATTGTTAATTTGAAATGAATGTTAGTAAGGAAAATGGGCTTTAAATTAACTGGATTTTAGCTGGTATTTTGTTTTTAAAAAACAAGCATATAACCTAGTCACCTGGGGAATAACAGTAGCTTTAAATTATACAGTGTTTTTTGACATCATACATACAATCTATTTATGTTGTGACACCAGAATATATTTTAAATGACCGTAAAATTTTCTCTTAGTTGGTTTTGATTGGATTTTTCTTTTTTAGTTACTGTTGGCTTGCCTTTTGTATCTTTTTTAAACTTTGGGATCACACCCATGTCTTTCTCTTAAACTAGCTAAATCATCATAATACCACTTTTTTCTTTAAGCACCCAAATAAAAAGAGCCTGAAATGGTCAAAGCATTTTTTAAAGCATTTTCATATTGTTGAAGGGCGTCCATAGTTCTTGTAACATTTCTTAAATCCCCAGGCCCTCAGCTCAGAGCCCCAAGACTGTGATAACGTGTTCTTTCTTGGAGGCAGTAGCTTACTTTTCCTGTTAGTGGACTTTTGTACCAAGAAATGATAACAATAATAACAATAATAATACTTTTATAGCTATTTAAGTACTTCAGAATGCTTTACATATGTAATCTAATTTGATTTGAATTTGATTCAATATAACAGCCATCTAGTTAGATGCCTTGAGGAATCAGGCACACCACTTTTTCTCAAAATTCCTCGTAAGGAATGTTCTTTAGGCTTTGGAATAATGTACATTTACATTTCCTATAAAAAGGTATTGTAGGATTAAATTTTATTGTGGACCACTTTACAGAGAACTGCTATCTTTTTTTGAGCACAGAAACATTTTATATGTATATAGAAAAGGTGGCTCTGATAAACAGGTTATGAGAGATTATATTAACATTACAAAATATGCATTGCATAAGTATTCTAGCAGTGTTGTTATTGTTGTTCAGTCGTTTAAGGTATGTCTGACTCTTTATGACACCCCCCCCCTTGGGGCTTTCTTTGCGAAGATACTGGAGTGGTTTGCCTTTTCCTTCTACATTTTAGGAAACTGAGGGAAACAGGGTTAAGTGACTTGCCCAGGACCACACAGCTAGTAAGTGTCTGAGGCTGGATTTGAACTCAGATCTTCATGATTCCAGGCCTGGTGCTCTGTCCACTGTGCTACTTAGTGCCTAACCTTAAACAATATTTTATGTGATGAAGTTGTAATTTAAGAATGGTCTCTGCTCTTACAATTACATAGATAACAATAATAAAAGAACAATATGATTGCAGTTTTGCACAAAATTAAATATACAGGAAATAATATGTGGAAATAAAATATATTCTAGAAAAGATGGAGCAAAGATTCTTTACCTTTTAATGTTAAAGACTTTTTTGGTGGTCTGGTGAAATCTATAGAACCTTATCAGAATAATGTGATGACTTCCTTTGGCCTTACTTTTGCACATTATTTCATGTCATACTTAACCCCACCCTTCTGAAGCTGTTAGGGAAACTTACCTCCTTTTTTGATAAGGGAACTGAGCTTCTGAGAGGTAGCTTGAAGTTAGTTGGTGAAGCTAGGGCTTAAATAAACTCAGGTCTTCTGTTGACCCAGTGCTCTTTCCACTATCTCCCATCTGCTTAGCAGCATTTAGAAATAATTCGTTTTTCCTAATGCCCTTGTAATCAAAACTTCTCTTTATCTTACAGCATCTTTTTTTTTTGATTAACCCCTCTAAAGTGTTACCCAATTTCTTTAGGAAGGAAGGAAGCAAGAATTTATTTAGCAACCTACTTTGGGTCAGAAACTAGTTTTACTAAGTGCTCTACAAATATCTCATTTCATCCTCACAACAACTTTGAGAAGGAGGCATTATATTATTCCCATTTTACGTAGAAGAAACTGAGGCAGATAGGTTAAATGACTTACCAAAGGTCACACAAATAGTAAGTGCATGAGGCTGGATTTGAATTTAAGTCTTGTTGATTTCAGGCTCTTATCACTTGCACCACCTGGCTGCTTCTCACCTTTTTAAATAAAATATGCAGGGCATAATATTATATTTTCTCAGCAACTTGGGTAATCTTTAGTATACTTTGTACATCACTTTCAAAGTACTTTATGATGATACAGTGGTGAAGTCTGGGTCTGTTAGTCCATGGAGCGTTGCTTTCTGCTACATTTAATGACCCTAGATTGTTGTGTATCAACAGGTTTTCAAAATGGCTTTATCTCCACTTCTATCAGTGACCATTTCTCCCTCCTGTCAATATATATACTTCTAATAGCTTCTCCTCTGTCTTGGGTAGCTGAACTTGTTTGAATTGTTTAGCATATAAAATAAGCTTACTGATGATATAAGTTAATAGCATCTGAATTAGGGTTGAAGACCATCTGCTTAGGGGTAAAGACACGGGTTTTAGTTCGTGGTCTTTTGTGACATCTATTTAAGCCATTTAGAGGCCTTTTTTACTAGCTTCCATGATCATAGCTGTATTCTGAATGGAGGCGTTTGCCAGAAGTGCATCCCTCAAATAAAGGATGATTATTATATTTATATGTATGTATGTATGTGTGTGTGTGTGTGTGTGTGTGTACATGTACATGTACACACACACACATATTTTTTTTTGACAGGCAAAGGAACGGACATCAGTGTCTGGCAAAGCAAAGAAAGTGAGAGCTGATGAAAAGTTTTATTCAGAATCTGAAGAGGATGCTTCCGACAACAGCAGTGACAGTGGTATGGGTTGTCATTTGTCATACCATGATATTCATTTTATGACAATAATCCTTAGAATAGCAAGAACCCCGGATATTTGCACGCTGGGAAATTGAATATCTCTATGGGATATGCCTGTTTTGGGGCCTTATAAAATGTCTTCTGTGGTTGCCTTATGTTACCTAAATTATTCTGTTCAGTTATTTTACTGAGAACTAGATAGGAATAAAGCTGATACAAAGATATTCTTATTTAATTGACAAGAATCTGAAGTATCATGGGAAAGCTCTGGACTCAGCTCCTGTAGACTTGGATTTTGGTTGCTTTCATCTCTGTCACTAGCTATATGACCTTCAGTGAATTACTTCATCTCTCAGGTTCCGGGTTTCCTCATCTACAAATCAGATGAGTTGTATGGTCCCTTCTAAGTCCTTAAGATTCAGTGCTTAAAATACAGATAATGAAAAATACTTTATACCTTTGTGTAATACTACTGTTGCACAATTGTACCACCTGTGAAAACAAAACTAGCTCTAAACAAAATGTGAAGTAAGTAAAATTTGTCTTTTATCTTCTTACTGTTCTTTGTATTTCGATCCTGGGATCTTCCCGTGTTGTTTCCTAAAGACCTAGGGCCTTCCTCTGTAGTGTCTCTTGCTATAGACCTTTATTTTTCTGCCTCTCCTTTTTCCCCATCAAAAACTTCCCTTTCTTTGTATGTTAAGCTAGTAATATTGTGTTTTGCATATAACAGGCACTTGATAAATACTGGGTGGAATCAGATTTTGATAAATTAAGCTGTGTTGGTATGATGTGATTGATTATTCATAAGTTATTCTCCCTGATAATCTACTTGTATTTTAATAATATTTTATTTTTTCCTTAATGACAGGTAAAAACAGTTTTAAACTTTTTTTATGTAAAACATTTTCATATTGTCTACTTGGACTTTAACATGGAAATCTAGTAACAGTGCCTTAACTCCATGGAATAATTCTAGTAATGAGAGGCTTGGACACCATAGAAGGCCAGTGGGGGTGAGGGAGAGGGAGGGATGTTTTTCACAGACAGATCTTTTAATAACCTTTAATCTTTAGAGAAGTAGATTGTTTCTTGAGCTGCTGGAACTAAAAACAAAACCAAAAATAATCACCTCAGGGGATTAACATCTGATGATGAGCCTTTCCAAACATAGGTTGGTTTGTCCTTAGACAAGGGATACAAAAGTTGCCACCATTTGTCTCCTCTAAGCTGATTCACCTTGGTGTAAGACCTGTTGGACTTATGTTGTCTCACATGGCCTCCATGAGTCCAGGGCCATGTGCCTGCTACAGTGAGCAACCAGACCAGTATTTCCTTTCTTATAAAATGTAGGATACAGAAGAGCAAAGATACCTTTTTTTTTTCCCCTCCAGAGAGTGAATCTGGAAGTGAAAGTGAAGATGAAGAAAAGGAAGAAGGCAGTAGTGAGGAGAGTAGTGAGTACTCCTCTGATGAGAGTGACAGCGAATCAGATTTAGACAACAAAAATCAAGTAGCCAAGCACAAATCTAAAACTACAGAAGAAAGGTAAATAAAGATTTTATCACATGTTTTGAACATCAACACTTGTCTGTGATATTCTTTCCTAATTAATATTTCTCCATAATTTAGAAAGTAAATAAATTAATGCAGTTGTTGCATTTGTTTAAATTAATATAACATAGTAGTGGAGCATATTTAGACTGTCATAATGCTTAGATTTCGTTTTTAACTTGAGCAGATCTTGGGGGTTGCTTTTGGAAAATTGGTATAACCTTGGGAGGCTGAGTTAAGTGATCAAGCAGTAGGTGTGAAACACTTAATTACCTTTTGCAGCAATTTTGCTGAGGGCTAAAATTAAATCCTTCAACACTTCGCCATTATGTAACTAAGACAATTGATTTTTCTAAATAATGTTATATTAAAAAGATTATGATCCAAATATTAGAGTCAGGGGCTGTGAAGGGAGACGGTCAGAAGATATTTAAGTGTTAGCGGTTTTTAAGATTGCCCATTATCAACAACATTATCATGTGTTAAAGTATCATTAAAATTTTGAGTAATTGGGGCTAATCCCTTGGATTGTATGAATCTGTTTCTTCCACTGCTGTCAGCAAGTGGCCTCTGCAGACATGATCACCCTTTACTCTGCTGCCAGCTCACTTGATGAGTTTGCAGCTCAGCTCAGTCGTGGCTGACAGCGCTGATTGGGGCGCAGTACGCACTCTGCTCCTTTTATTACAGACAGTAATTAAAGCAGCTCGCCCTGCCACTTCCATAACAAACACAGCATAATGCCCTAATTATGACTTTATTAATTTAAGTCAGGATTTAATGATTTTAAAAGTGATTTATATTGTTTTTCCTGTTCAGAACAAATGAAATCTGTAGGTTAAATTAATACAGGCTTTTCATCATTGCAAAGTTAAAAAGCTAGTTACCAGTAAATTTTTTTCATTAGATTAACATCTGAAACTCTAAGCAGTAAGGTAAACAATAATTACCCATCAAAATTGAGTGATGTATAAAATACTACTTTTATCTTGAAAGTCTCATCTTAAAGGTAGAAGTTAAAAATCATTCACTTGTTGAAACAAAGGAGTAATATTCAGCTCATAATTGCTTTCTCCGAACAGAAAATTTTCTCTTTGGTTACTTTATCAGTAGTAGAAGACAGTATAGCTATGACTGGTAATATTTCAGATGCAAAAATTGTTTCATGTATTATTTTTTCAGTGTTATATCTCTTTACACTTTTGTAGCACTGTATCATTTTTAAATGCTTTTGAATATTTCTTGGAAGTTTATAAATGTGTATGAAGTATTTTCCATAAAAATAACCCATTCTCTTTAGGTATGTTTGAATCTGAAAAAAATGGTTTGTCTTATGAGAAGAAATGTTTGCTTAAAATGATAGAATGTAAATAAGAATTTTTAAAAATTGATTTTTAAAAATATGTCCCAAAATATGAGGAATTCCAGTTTTCTTTCTTTGTCCAAAATGCATGTACATATTTCAGCCTTCATATATAAATTGTATGTCCCTCTGCCATTGTTTCATGGTTCTGTTAAAGAAAAAGAATTATATTTGTTCCACAGAAGTCAGTTGTAGGAAAGAATTGATTTCCTTTCCAACTTTGTTTTTGTGTTTTTCTTATAGTTTTTCAAGTTTTCTTTCTTCTTCTTGCAAAAGTGCAGAATTAGCAAATTTTGAAAAACTGAGGTGCTTTGAGGAATTATTTTTAAAGGTGCCATATAGTTTTCACTTTCCATAAAATGTTTAGGCATACAAAGCCTAAAATATTTCATTAGTAAAGTAAATCACTTGTGCTGGGTGGAAGGAACAAAACACCGTGGGGGTTCGTGACTGCCTGTTCATATGCCCTTTTTAAATCTCACTGTCAAATACTTTGGCATAAACATTGCTGAGTTAGGGAGTTTATATTTAACTACCTTATTCTGTATTGATGTGTATAGAAGTTGAAAAATCACAATCTGGTTGAGCCAAGATCTAGTCACATATATTGCATTTCTTGTGTCTTTGCGTTTTAGAATTTTTTTAAAAATCACATGTAAGCAAATTTATTTATGTGTGTATACTTAAATTTAAACAGTAACTAATTTTTAAAATTCACCATTTCAGAATCAAAACCCAAATACAATAAATGTATTTTTCTGATAAACTCAGTAAACTTAGTTTCAACAGCCATTAATTATTTTTGCAGTGTTATTGATGACATTGTTTAGTGTTATTTTATGACCTTTTCTAGCTACCCTATTTGAAGTATATGTGACTTTTAATGTAATTGATGAGTTTATGGATAATGATTTCCCTAGTGATAGATAACACTGTCTACATTATCATTCCATTAATATATTCTGAATTTGTGAGCCACCTTGAAATATCTTTTCATGTACTAAAGGGAACAAGTTGTGACACTCTCATTTAGTAAAAGTTCTTTAAAATTTGTATGCATGGTAAATTCATAGAACAAATAATGCAGTTGTTTCTTGTCATGTTTTCATTTAGAGGATTTTACAAACATGTTTATCTTTAAGTAATGACAGACGTATGTTACATATTGTTTTATAGTGATTCTGATGCTGATAAGAAGACAAATGCCAAATTGAAATCATCTGATTCTTCTGATTCTGAATCTAGTTCAACAGAGGAAAGTTCTTCAGACTCTGAATCAGACACAGAAAGTGACTATGAGTCAAAAAAACTGAGTAAGGTGAGATCTTTGATGTAGGATAGATTTATTTTTGGACATGAGTATTCTAACATCATTTTCTTAGGGATCAATGCATTAATTTTTAAAAATTATTGGAAAACTTTAAAATTCAAGGAGAAAAGTCCTATTTAACTTTTGGTCTGAATTTTCATGTACTCTAGGAGTTTTCATGTACTGTAGGATCCCCTGTTATGTTGAAATAAATTATATTTAATGTCAGAAAAGCACAATTATATCTGTAACTTGCTTTTACATTTAGCTTTCCTCATAAGCCAATCCAGGAATCTTTTTCTCTTTATGTTTCCTGGGCAGATAAAAATGAGGAAGTGTAAGGGGAAGTCATTGTAAGATTTTTGTTTTGTTTTTATAATATTCCATTTAATTAGTGCAAATGTTAGGTTTCATTGGTAATATGAACTTCGAAGAAGGAGAAACTCTGCAATTGCACGCTGCCTCACTGTCTTAGGCTCACACTGTAGTCCATGCCAAAGGTATTTGAATCCAGGTCTTCGTCTCTTCAAAGCCATCTCTCTGTCCACTATGCCAGGCTACATTTCATGCTTATTCTTGTTCGCTGAATTCAGGTGAAGGAAGGGCTTTGCTTATGTGTTGTGTCTTTGGTCCACCTCTTCCTACCCCTGTGACCTTGGAGAGAGTACTTACTAGAAAGAGTAATCATTTTATGGTCTTAGCATCAACAGGGTGTTGAGAGGGATACACGAACAATATATTTGAGAAGAAAAGTATGACTATTCTGGATGTTTAAAAAAGAAAAAAGAATGATAGCTCAAATTATTTTACCAGTTGATAAATATATAATTGAATATTAAAAAAAATAAATGCAGCTTTTTGATAGAAATGTTTTGAACATTCCATTGCAGCATTAAACTGCTAAAGAAAACTAAGCATAGCAATGTAAAGCTTTCATATACGAGAAAAATTCTCTCTCTTCCTTCACTATGAAGCCCTCTTCTGTACAGAGATAATATCAGTGATGCTAGACTTCAGATGCTGCTGTTCTGCATAACCTGTGTTAATCAAAAAACTGAAAATTTAATCAGGCTTACTATTGATCTTGTTTTTGTTCTTTTTTTAAAATTTAGTTTGTTGCATTCACTTGGAATTTTTTTCGTATGCTGAGTGATAATCATGGATAAAAATGAATGTATCAAAGCAGTCAACCATCTTCCCCCATGCAATTATTCCTTAAAGAATTTTCTTATTGTTCATTATTTGTCATAGCACTTCATTTTATATATTTTTGTATGTAGTACAATTATGAATTTAGACTAGAGTCTATAAATTGAATTGTGCACCTAGATTAATTTTTAGTCTTAAGAATTCTTATATTCATTGACTCTAGCTTGCTCATTTTCAGTACTCAGATAAATGACAATTTTAGGAATTTTAGAATTAGTCTATTAATTCATGTATGTATGAAAGTTCATTAGGACATTATCATTGAATTTAGTACCTCATTGTCTTTATACCAAATTACTAAGAAGAATTAAATATTTAAAAAATTATTGCAGATGCTCTAATTAACATTAAATACCACACAGACCAAAAAACCATTGTTTGGGAAATGATGATCTGAAAATAATAATAAAACAGTAGAATGTTAAATGCATATGTCTTAATTGAGTTTTTCTTAAATGGTTTTGTTGACTATGGGTAGACATTTTCTAGCATGTGGAATTTTCCTAGAGTTGATTTTTACTTATCCTCTCTTGTGTGATCAGTGCTTTACCATACACAAGTTATTCTTTGGTACTTGTTATCCAAATGTGTTATTCTTTACTGGGGAGGGGGAAAGAATGTATAGGGAGATTAGAGTGAAAAGATGTGCTCTTAATCGTTCATAGCTTATTGTAGGATTTGTTTTCTTTTTTGGCAAAGGAGTTTGTGAAGGTAGTAATAGATGAAGGGGTGTAGAGAAGGTTAGTGTGCTGAATTTATCCTTTACCTTTTTGTATCTGTCTACTTTATACCACCAAAAAAAAAAACAAACCCCAAAACATTGAGCAAGAGTTATTAAGATTAAAGCCCACAGAATTCTGGTTATAACCATGACTATCTTGTGTTGAATTGTCAACTCTGCATATAGAAAGTCATTGCAAAACAATTTAAGCTGTTGCATTTAGTAAGGTTTAGGAATCCATACGGATTACCCCTAATGATTGTTGATTGTTCAGTGTGTCCATCTAACTGCTTATAAAAAGATTTTTCCCATATCATGAGCATCTTTTTTGTCCGTTTTAAACTAGATAAAACTTACTTTAAAATCTCACTGATGAGTATAATTTCTTCCTTCCCTAAATCCTCTTCCCTTTCACTCAGTTATATCTCCTTTAGGAGAAATTACTAAGGCATGGTATCTTCTCTGCAAGTGATTTGGAGTTTCTTATGTAAATTGCTTTACCATACCTTTGCCTTTAAAGACTTTATTTGGGCATCTGTCAACTGGGAGAAATTTGTTATTATCATGCATAATCACTTCTGCTCCAAATATTAACAATGAATGCAGAAGTTTGACACTTTTGTCTTACCTTGATACTTCATTTAGTATGGTAAAGTGTATGGAAATTTATTTACTTATAATCTTCAAATTTCCCCAAATCTTTTTTTCTCATTTCTGCATATTCTATTTACCCTTGGGATGTGTATTCAGGGGAATTGAGCATGCAAATGGGAACTTAGAGCACTTCTCAAAGTTTGGGTCACTCTATTGATATGTTTAAAAATCCTTAATTCAGTTGATGGTCCTCTGAGTTAGGAGGTGTGATCTTTTGGCTGTATAAAGCAGCTTCTTATAGTGATAGTATTACCCATGCCTACTTCATAATGTCATGAGGATTAAATGAAATTAAATGAAATAATATAAAAATAGATGTAAATTTAGATTTAGATCAAGAAGCCTTTCCCAACCTGTCTTAATTCTACTGCCTTTCCTCTGTTAATTAATTTGTTACACACACACACACACACACACACACACACACACACACACACACACATCTTGTTTGTAAATAATTGTTTATTAGTCATCTTCCTTTTTAGATTGTAAGCTCCTTGAGATCAGGGACTGTCTTTTACCTTTTTTTGTATTCTCAGCACTTAGTTCAGTGCCTGGTATATAATAGGCACTTAATAAATGCTTATTGACTCACTGACTGGAGATAAAAAGAAACGGACCCTGCTCTCAAAGAGCTTACATTCTATATATATATTCTGTATGGTGTAGTATGATATATAATTATGGAAAGAATGTATAGGCAACAGGATAGTTTTAGGAGACAGCACCAGCTGCTGAGATCAGGAACAGCTTCATGAGGAAAAGGTAATTGCACCTAAATCTTAAGGGAAATAAAATGGAGATGAGTTGGATTGCTTTCCAGAAATGGAGGCTAGTCAGAACAAATGCATGTAAGTAAGAAATGTAATATCCTATATGAAGAATAGCAAGATGGCCGTTCTACCTGAACTGTAGAATGCAGGAAGGAGAGTAACATTTGTGTAGTGAGACTAAGAAGAAAGTTTGGGATTAGGTAATAAAGGGCTTTAAATGTTACTGAAGACTTTATTCTTATCCTTGAGTTGGTAGGAAGACACTGAATTTTATTGAGTAGAGTAGTGACATGGTTAGACCTGTGCTTTAGGAGACTCCTTTTGGTAGCTGTGGGGAATGGAAAGAGCTTTTGAGGTCAGGAGATCAGTTAGGAGAGAATTGCAGTAGTCTAGGTAATGGGATAAATTTGAGATGCAAAAGGGGTAAGACTTGAGGAATTTTATAGGGGTGGAAATGGCAGCTGATGGCAACTGACTAAATATATCAGATTAAGGGGAAGTTAAGAGTTAAAGATAATACCTGATTTGAGACCCTGGGGTATTGGAAGAATGGCCTTTGACAGAAATAGGCAAATTCAGAAGAGAGTGAGAGAAAGATTTATGAGTTCTCTTTTGCCATATATTAACTTTGAACCATCTATAGGACATCAACTGGTGATGACAGAAATAAGGATTTGAGAGTCGTCTATGTAGAAGTGATAATCAAGCCTGTGGGAGTTGAGTCACTAAGTGAAAGTGTGTACAGAGAAAAGAGGAAAAGGGCCCAGGACACAGCCTTTGGATATACCCACACATAATGGTGTGCAGTGGGTGATGATCAAACAATGGAGACTGAGAAGGAGCAGTCAGTCAAGTTGGAAGAGAACCAGGATAGAGTAGTACCATAAAACAAAACAAAACAAAACAAAAACAAACCCATAGAAGATAGATTATTTACGAGGAGAAGGTGGTGAGCAGAGTTAAATGCTGCAGAGAAATCAATAATGATGAACACTGAGAAAAAGACCATCATGTTTGGCAAGGGTTGAGGTCATCTATTAGAGCTTAAGCTCCTTGAGCAAATACCGTGGTACTTTTTCTTTGTATCTTCAGAACCTTACATAGGTGCCTGGTACATGGTAAATGCTTAATAAATTCTTGTTAATTGATCAGTTGACTGATTGGTAGCTTTGAAGAGAGAAGTTTCACTTACCTGATCAGGTCAGAAGACAGGTTGCAAAGGGTTGAGGAGTGAAAAGAGGAAGCTGAGGCAGTGAATGTGCACAGCTTTTTCAAGGAGTTTGGCTCTTAATGGGAGGAATGTAATAGCCCAATAATTCATGGGGAAGATAGGGTCTTTGTTGTCATTGTTATTTCCAACTCTTCATGACACCATGGACCATAGCATGCCAGGCCCTTCTGTCATCCACTGTTTCCCAAAATCTGTCCAAGTTCATGTTCATTGCTTCCATCCATCTCATCCTCAGCTGTCCTCTTCTCCTTTCACCTTTAATCTTTCCTAACATCTCGGTTTTTTTCAGTGAGTGTTGTCTTCTTCTCATTATGTGGACAAAGTATTTAAACTTCAGCTTCAATATTTGACCTTCCAGTGAATAGTCTGAATTAATTTCTTTTAGTATTGACTGATTTGATCTCTTTCCTGTCCAAGGGTACCTCAAAAGTCTTTTCTAGCACCGCAATTTGAAAACCTCCATTCTGTGGCACTCATTTCCTTTGGCAGTATCTAGTGAGGGTTTTTTTTTTTAAGGATATGAGAGATTAAGGTATCTTTGTAGACAGCAGGGAAGAAAACAGTAGATAAGAAAAGATTAAGAGAGAGATGGGAGAGGAAGAGATGGACTGAAGAAGCAGTCTGCTGGAGAAAAAGAGAAGGCTGAGATTAAGAGCACATGCAGAAAGATTGGCCTTGATGAGAAGATTGGAGGAAAGGAGGAAACTGGGAGATGATGCCAGAGGGAGGGTGTGAGATGTATGTGATACCATATGTGATACCATAGTGCTCTTATTGTGAATAGTCTCTTTTTTTTCCTGTGGTAAAGCATGAAATGAGATGAGGTGAAGTCTTCAGCTATATTCTTTTTGAAGGGTTTTGAATATGCTAATTCATTACCAGAATTTTTTTCATAACAATTAAACTGCTTTTCCTTTGTAAAAAGGTCAGCAGAAAAGTCAGTGATAGCAAAAAGAGATTCACATTTATATCACTTTCTCTGATATCTACTGATATAATTATATTGTATTTTATTCTTAGTTAAAATTATGAATAGAACAGATGGTGAAGGTTATGTTTAAATTAATGTCTTTTAAAAAGCTTCCCATTGCTAGAAATGGTACCCATCTTCGTGTTAGTCCTTTACTCATATATTTAACTATGGTATAGTATTTCTAACTATATGCAAAATATCTTAACCAAGTAATAGTAATTCAAGTGCCAACCACTGATGCTTTAAATCAGAGTTGTCAAATACAGCTGACAAACATTCCCAAGTGTTCTCCAAGCCATATTAAAACATAAATGGGCAATATTTAATAAAATAAATAAAAATGTAATAAAACATGGATAATATTACATTTAAAAACTAAGCCAGGATGTGGCCCATGGAGCTATTTATGTATAAATTTAGTGGCCCTCGTTTCCATTTTAGTTGACACTACTGCTTTAGATAACACTGATAAGAAAATAATAATGCATTTGCTATGAAAAGATTTTTATTCCTTAGCTTACATGTTTTTTCAGTGTCATGGATAGAGGATTTTCATATGAATCCTGTGTTAATGGGTGTCATTTTGTGTCGAGTAAAAACTATCTATGTGAAATAACTTAATGCATTTATCTAGTTATAAAAAGTATCTCACATCCAGACCAGTATTATTACTGAATTCATAGGATCCTGAAAATAACTGACTTCACAGTGGTTTGGTTAAGATTTAACAATAATTTATCTTCTGATCATCGAAACAGTTAAGTGGCATCTGAATGCTTGGTGGTATTATAGGTGTGGTTGTCTGCTGCCATCATCATCACAGACTAAAGAGACCTTTTGGATACATGTCAGTATGCTATAACCCAGTTGATGCATACAGAGAAATTGGTCTTGTACTTGTGCTCCTTCCTCTATAAAATTTTAAGAAAAAGATTTTAGATGGCTAACCTTAACATGACATTAAGACCTGACAAATTGAAAATTACTATTGATTAAAGCAGATTAATTCTGTGAATGTTGTACCAAATAGGTCATATATAGAAGGATTAGGAAAATTTCCCAGGAAGACTTTATTCAGACATATTTTAGTTATGTTTGAGGAATAGGGTTTTTTAAAGGTTTAATTCTTTCATAGTGACATAAAATTTGTGGATTTTGAAGACTATAGATTTTTATGTAACTATCTTAAGACAGTCTGTAAGTTGAAAACACAGTAGTTGAGTTTTTACTGAATTTTAACAAATGGAAATTGCTTTGGAGTTCACAGTGCATTCTGGTTTAAAATTTAATGTTAATTTTATCAGCTGTACATACTTTGCATGGAAACATGAGATTCAATAGGTTGCCTTGACAACTCTAATTGAAAATATTTCATGCAAATATTTGCCCTATGAAGTCTCCAAATATCTTGCCTTATAACACTAGAAATTAGCAATGAACTGTGTCCTGGATTTCGGCATTGACTATTAGTTTACTGAACTTTGCATAATATTTATCCCATTTTGTAATTTTAAGATTAAAACCTTTTTAATGATATCTTCTTCATGTGAAGTACATTGTCATGTCATATTTATGTATCCTTTCTGCCACTTTTATTAGAGTGAAAATGAGTGTTGAGAATAGGCAAAAATCTTTACAGATGTAATACACGATTTTGTGTGTGCTCCTATTTGAAACTTAATAGCTGCTCAAGAGACCTGTTCCCCACCCCCCCTTCAGTGACTTGAGATGCCATAAGCAGAGGGTTTGATATCTTAAAACTGTGGTTTTGTATTCCATTTAAAAATGTGGATCCTTCGAAGTGTTCAAAGGTATAACCAGATAGCATACAAACAAAATGCAGATTTGAGGAAGATACATTGATAGATATTTTTGTGCTAAGATTTTAGGAGCAGTTTCCACTGTCCCTACACAAGTTTAGTAAAGTCGCTCAGCTGTTAAAAACCTAATCCCATATTTTTTTTAAAAAATACACAAATTGCCTTATCTTTCTGCCTGATCTCTTTTCAAGTGCTAACACAATGGAAACAGTGGGTGATCTGTCAATGCGTTTGGTTTGTCAATGATGGTTTTATATAAACATTGGTGGGGTAAGAAATAAAATTCGCACAGTAAAATATGATTTCATCTGCCTTTTCTCTGCAGCTCCGTGGCTCATGCTGCGGTGTGAAATTCTCATTTTACACACTTTGCAGGCGGAGCACATGAATTATGCATTGAGCAAGAGAAATCTCCTGCTTCAACTCCTATATGCATTTACCCAGGTTCTGTCTCTATTACCAAGATGAATTGCAAATGGAGGAATGTTGGATGGAATATGGCTTTTAACTTCTTTGTTTAGAATTCAGATTTTTCTTTTCATAGTAGATGCTTTAAATAAGAAAATGTTTTGATTTTAAAATTTTTTTTAGATAAGCAATGAAATATAATGTGAGAGGAAAATGCCAGGCACATCACAAGCTTTTTATAGCTTTGATTTGCAATGCAAGGCTTTTTCAATTCAGCAGAAATGACCATTATCTGTTGCTAATGTTGTATTTCAGTCACTGTTATTTGCTCTTCCCAGAAAGTCAATGAATTTCTGTCCTTTTGAGAGCTTTTTTCTTTGTTTTTTAAGTTCTAATAAGAGCTTATGCTGATTTCATTTTTGGCTTTGTTCTGTGTATATATGATATGATATGATATGATATGTATTTAGTAGATATTGTTATATATTCTTAGCTGTGGTAGGAAATAAAATGTAGACTTAGTACAGGCTTTACCTTGATCCAGATTTGATGAGTTGCTAATTTTTCAGGTGATAGTCATGCACTGTTGTGGCTTATAGGAAACCACACCCATTTTGCTCAGTGTAGCATTTTCAAATATCAAGTGATACTAAGCTTCTTTTTTGCTATGTGTTTTTGCACAGTAGTGATACCCTAGATGAGATGGGATTGTCATCCTGAATCTGTGTTTTCAGTAACTTACAACTTTTTGACTCTCAGGCATGGAACCAAAATTTCATCGACTTATTCTGACCATTAAGGCAATTTTTCACTTGACACAAAAGAGGCTTAAAATTTTTAGGAAAGAAAAAGGAATGTTCATTTAGCTGATATTGAATTGTCAACATAAGAAAAATATTTGAGTGAAACATGTATTAAGAGACATTCAGCTTTTACAATTTTAGGAAAAAGTGTTGGGAATTTCTGATATTGTTAGAAGTGGTATATAGATAGCAAAGTATGAAGAGTGAATATATTTTCTTTGTGTCTTAAATTATATGGTAATGATCCCCTTGCATTCCAAATATAGATCTTTAAACACACAAAGTGTGGCCCTTTGACCGAATCCAAACTTCACAGAACAAATCCCCTTAGTAAATGGAGCTGTTTGTAAAACTTGGACTCGATCAAAAGGCCGCACCCAAGGACCTAGAAGGCCGCATGTGGCCTCGAGGCTGCAGGTTCCTCACCCCTGGTGGTAGATGGTATATAAGTTCTCTTTCAACTCTCCTTTGTTTAAATTTGTTGGCTTCGAATGGAGATTTTTATTTTTTGTTTCAAGTGGAACTTTTTCCTTTGGTAAATATTTTTTAAACATTCCTATACCTATAACTCAGGATGACTTAACTTAAAGGAATATAGTTCTTAAAGACAGAGTAACATTGGCTCTGGTGAGTCCTTCTGAGATCCTGTTTGGTTATTCAGTGCTTAGTTTGTGTTTGTTTACTAAGGTTTCTTAAGTCTTTTTCACGTCTGTTTTCAGTCTTTACCAATAAATTATAAACTCTAGAATAAATGCTATTTCATATCACCACCAACCAAGACGCCTCCCCCCATCCTCCCTGTGCCTAGATTTGAAAATGTAGTTGTCTGAAATGTGAACCCCATACAAATTTATCATTGAAATTAAAGCAATGAGAGAGATAACTGGAGTCCCTTCTGCTCCAGATCCCCAGGGCAGCATAGGGGAAATGACAACTGTTATTAGTGTAGGACCACTTTTAAAAGAGTCAGTATTTTGATTCTGAACTGTCTGGTAATTACTTTAACATACTTTGATAATTGATTGATTTATAATTTCTAAAAAAAAACTCAGGCTATAAATAAATAAGTTAAAATGTGCTATGTAATTGAAGCAATTCATGTGCTTGTTAATAACTGATTCTTGCCATATTCACAATAAGTCAAACCAAGAGACTTAAAGATTGAGAAATGAGTTATTAACTAGTGTAGCTACAACCAAATTTATCCCCCAGTAGAAGAGGCACTAAGTTTGAACTGTCTGGGTTTCACTTTCATCCTCAGGAGCCTGGGAGGGGGTAATAGACTAATTATCTGAATGATTCTTCAGAATCTAAAGCCTACAAGGTCTATAGGATCAGGCCAAGATGATAGCTTCTGGATTAAGAACAAGGGAATATATGTTTAAAACTTTAGCAATTACAGATTAAAAGTGTAAAGGTAGACATTTCATTTTTATTTGTGAAACAAATCTGCTATGTCCTTTGGGACATGTCTAGCTTGGCTACTAGAGAAACATAACTACAGGCTTTATTTTTCTGACATTTACTGGCTACTCAGAGGGAAATACTCTAAAAGTAAGATACCATTAGATAATTAGGCTTAATTATGGATTGACTTTCAGAAGGCTAGGGATAGTTTAAAGGAAAATGGTAAGAGAAAGCACAAAGCTAAGTATCGTGTGTGTGTGTATGTGTGTGTGTGTTTTACTCGGAAAGATTTTTCATGGTTGAGTCACTTTGATGTTTCCATACACATAGTAGTTTGGAGGTATACATGAAGTAAGGGTCTCTTATTGCTTATGGAGTAAAAATATATAATGAGAAGATTCAGGGGCATTAGTTATAGTTTGGTGAGGGAACTTTAGTTTTTCTTAGAAAAAGTTTTTGAAAAGCAAACTCTTTTTTAAACCCAGTTTTTCTGGAATTGAATTTGAGATTCCAGAAATTGGATCTCATTCCTGTGAGAGCTCTTTAATGTTGTTTCTGCTGACAAAGAGGAGCAGAGTTTTTGAATTTTAAAGTGAATTTGAGTAAAATAGCTATAATTATTTTTACCTTTTTTGTAAAGTCTTTGTGTATAATTCTCTTTTTTGAATTGGGATACTTTGTCATGTAAAATTTATTTTCTTTGAAAAGAAAAACATAGTATGTATTATTCTCAACTCTTTTACTTTGGACAGTTGTTCTTAACTTTATTAAAATCCCTAAAATGTGTGAGAATGTAGTGACACACAAGTGAGGCAAGTGAAAAACAGAAGGACTCCCAAAGCAGTTAACCAGTAGGAGTTCTGTATTCTCTTTTAGAAGTGAGCACATAGAGTATCATATTAAAAAGTTGTAACTTGTTTGAAAATTTTTGAAATTTTGAAAACTTAATGTTAGCAAAATATTTTATCCAATTTAAAAATTGTTATGGTTTTAATCTTTAAGTTTTCTACTGAATATCCATTCATCTATAAACTATATATATATATATACATACATATACATATACATATATATGTGTATATATATATATTTTAAGCATTAGCTAGAGTTTTTTTGTGGGGGTTCCATCTAGTCATTTGTACCAAATTTTAAAATTTGCAACTTAAACTTAATTTGAAAAATATTTTATGTTAGGAGTGAATAATGAGCACAATACCACAACTTTTTTATCGAATTTAGGGGAAAATGTTTTTAAATGGCAAAATATGTAGCAATAAATATGTATTACTTTTGACAGAAAGAGAGAAGAAAACTTGGCCAGAAAGAAAGCCTAGTAATAAAGATGTTTCTCTTCTAGATCTGGATGACTGTAAGTATTACATCTGTTAAGTTTGTAATTTTCCTTTTGATAAACTGTGACTATATATTTTTACAAAATCTCTTTTTAATTCAACTGTAGGCATCTGTTGAGTACTTTGTAGAGTGAGAAGCCCAGATAGAGATTTTCTGCTGTCATATGTCTTGGCCTTTAGGGAACATTTCTATTTTTCATAGAAGGGGTAAGGCAATAGTAGTGGGCCCTGAGCAATGCTTGAAAATCCTGTGCTACTGTCCACCGGAGGCTTTCTGAGCCTTCTCTAGAATGGATGCTGTTTCACTCACCACAAAACAAACACTGACATGCCAGGGAGAGTGAGATTTTCTGGTATTCAAATAATGTCTATTTAGAAAAATTACTATAAAAGAAGTCTTTTTAATTGTGCCTTTTTCTATGTTGTATCTTAGAAGGATGACTACTTTGCCTCTTTATTATCCTGATTCTGATAATTATTTTTTCCTCTTCATAGTTTTTTTTTCGTTGTTTTCTTAACCACCGTAGCTGTCTTATGAAAATATGAGAAAGATCTGTGATATATCTTTAGTGGGAAACTCCTTCTATAGCTCATGACTTAGTAGATAAGTTCTAGGGAGTTGCCTGAGACACATAGAATGCAAATAACTTGCCCAGGGTCTCACAACTGGTAAATTTAAGAGGCAAAATTGAAGTCTAAGTCTTTCAGACTTCAGGCCTAGCAGCCTCCTTCTAAGATTATCACTACAGCTGCGTAATACAAAGTGTCCCAAAAGTCTTATTGATAAGTCTCATTAATAATAATATGAGCTCTTAAAGCTTAAAACTGCTTAAGATTTTTGGGACATCCTGCATAAATAAAATCGTTAAGTAGAAGAATTTTTTAAAAAATCATTTAAGGTTATTTTGCTATGGTAGTTCATACTGACTTTTAGCAAATAAGTCCCTGTATCTCACAAAATACTGTTGGCACCATTGCTGCATAGAAATGAGGAGTATGTTGCCACTTCCACCACCTACAAAACTGGGGAGAAAGTTGACAGAGGTAGCGCTTCGGTATAGGCCATTGCTTTCCCTTTCCAGTTAACATTTCATATAAGGTCAGACGCTAACAATGGCAGCACCGAACTCATCTGTACAATGAGCATCATGTTACCTACCCTTCTTATATTAGAATGTCATTGTGAGAGCTGAATGAAATAATTTATGTGAAAGCATATTGAAAACTATAAAGTACTATTTGAGTTTAAGTGTGATATTTTTATCATTATTAATCAGTCAATAAATATTTATTAAACTCCTGTGATTTATCAGGCACTTTGGTTAAATAGTGTTATTAGGGGAGAAGGATGAGTAAATTTGCATGGCTATCACATTGCAAGATAATCTCTATTCCACTGAAGCAGTTCTGTTTTTTCTTGCCTTTAATTAATTTATTTAGACATTTTCATAATTAAATATAAAATATAGGACATATAGAGGGCTTTTTTTCTTTAAAGGAAATGATCTAAAAGAGTCAAGGGCGTATAGGATAATTATGGTGGTTCGCTGCTGAATTTGTGTCTGAGTTTCCTGACACCTATGGCTGAAGAGGAAGACACATTGTATAAAATAACTTTCATTGTGTATTCAAAGAAAGGATGAAAATTTGTCTGTAGGGATAGATTTTCCTGAAGGCAAAGAAGTCTTTTGTTCCAGTTGGTTTTTCGGGATTCATATTTCAATCACTGTTTTTTTATGTGATGTATGCTTCTCTTTTAAAAATAACATCCAAATTGGACATATTAAAAATCCTTTTGCAGGAAATCTTCCCATATAACACTGACCAGTCCTCACCTCCCAGACTCTCTTCTGACCTCTGTAGGTTCCATGAAAATTGCATTATTCTGTTTCTTTTATTACTTTTTGGATGGTACCTTCTCTGTCTGTCTTTCTTTGCTTACTTCATCTTTCCCAACATATACACAAGCTGTGGGATTGCATCAAGGATCAGCCTTCTCATCTTCTCTGTCTACAAACTATTGTATCTGTGCAGATGATTCCCAAATCTGCGTCTCTGGGACTGACATCTCACCAGTGTCAATTCTATACTTTCAGTTCCCTCCTGGACACTTGTACATCTTACAATTTAAACTCACCTACTCCCTGACCGAAGTCCTTCATAGCTTCTCCTAGTGATACCACCAGTTGACTCTTTCCTCTTTATTTTGATTCTTCCTTCATTCTGTTTCATTCTTTTTTTTCCCAATTTTTAAACATTTTTATTTAAAGTTTTGATTTCCCAATTCTGTTTCTCCCTTCTTCTTTCTCCTCCCCTCTCCCTTAGATGTAAGCAATCAGATATAGTTTATACATGTACGATTGTCATTTTGTACGAGAAGACTTGAATAAAAGAAAAAAATGAGAGAAAAAAGTGAAAAATAACTTGCTTCAGACTGTGTTCAATCAATATTAGTTCTTTCTCTGGAGGCAGATAGTATGCTTCATTATTAATCCTTAGGGATTGTCTTGGATCTTGTATTGCTGAGAATAGCTGTCACTATTGATTGGAGAAATGCAAATTAAAACAACTCTGAGGTACTACCTCACACCTATCAGAGTGGCTAATATGACAAAAAAGGAAAATGTTGGATGTTGGAGGGGATTTGGGAAAACTAGGACACTAATGCACTCTTGGTGGAGTTGTGAACTGATTCAGCCATTCTGGAGAGCAATTTGGAGCTATGGCCAAAAGGCTATAAAACTGCATACCCTTTGATCCAGCAATACCACTGCTAGGTCTATATACCAAAGACATCAAAAAAAAAAAGTACCTATTTGTACAAAAATATTTATAGTAGCTGTTTTTGTGGTGGCTGAGAATTGGAAATCAAAGGGATGTCCAACAGTTGAGGAATAGCTAAACAAGCTGTGGCATATGACTGTAATGGAATACTGTTGTTTTATAAGAAATGACAAGCAGGGTGATTTCAGAAAAACTTGGAAAGACTTAATGAACTGATACATAGTGAAATGACCAGAACCAGTTCACAGTAACAACGATATTATTCAATGAGGAACTGTGTAAAGCATCCTAGTTCAAGCCCTCATGCCTATGTTATTGTGATAGCCACCTGATTGTATTTCCTGCCTCTTTTCTTTGACCTTTCCAGGTTATTCTCCACTTCCCACTAGCTTAATCATGATAGAAACACTAGAATTGAAGTCAAAGGAACCACGTCAGAAAAGGATTGACTATCATCAAGATCTCCCCAGAATGTGCAAAAGCTCCTGGGTTGTTTTCTAAGCTTGATGTTGAGGGGTCTGTGTGCAGTTCTTTTGCCTTAGTCTTGTACTTCCCACATCTTTGAGGAAAATGAAGTTTGAAGTGTTCCCACAAATGATAAAAAGGGTGCCCCATCTTTCCCTCTACATCCTCCTCACCAGTGATATGCTATTGATACTCATTTTGCTAGAAAGCTCTCCCATCCCCCTGCTGAAGAAATATCAGACTTAAAGAAGTCAAAAGTAATTCCCCTTTACGAAATGATGAGAGGCCTTAATCTATAGATTCAATCCAATCTGGTCATCCTAACATTATCTTGCATAATCTGGTCCAGTTTACCTTTACAAATTTATTTCTCACCATTCTTCAGTAGGAGCATTCTACAGCCATCAGAGTCATGCTTTTTCAAACTATATGGAGTTTCCCCAATCTGCAGTGGCATTTCTTTTTACTTATCCAAATCTACCCTAAACATCCTTTGTGTTGTCTTCTAGTTCTTCCTCCTCTGTGAAGATTCTCCCTATTTATGGCCCACATTAGCATACATATGCCAGAGCATTTGATTACATATTGATTTATCACATCCTTTCCTATGTGTTTGTCTTACATCTGATGAAATTATAAATTCTTTTAAAAATTTTTTTATTAATTTATTTTGATTTATCAACAATCACTTCCATAAACTTTTGAGTTGCAATCTGATATAGGCTATACATATACATTCCTATTAAACATATTTTCACATTAGTCATGTTGTAAGGAAGAATTAGATCCAGTGGAAGGAACCACAAGAAAGAGAAAGCAAAACAAAACAGAAGAAAAAGAAATAGGAAATAGTATGCCTTGATCTGCATTCCAGCTCTATAGTTCTTTCTTTGGATGTGGATAGTATTTTCCATCATGAGACCTTTGGAGATGTCTTACATCCTTGCATTGCTGAGAAGGGCTAAGTCTGTCAACGTTAGTCATTACACAACATGGCTTTTTCCATGTACAACGTTCTCCTGGTTGTGCTCACTTCACTCAGCATCAGTCCATAGAAGTCTTTCCAGGTTTTTCTGAAGTCTGCCTGCTCATCATTTCTTATAGCACAATAGTATTCTATTACATTCATATATCACAACTTGTTCAGCCATTCCCCAATTGATGGGCATGCCTTCTATTTCCAATTCTTGGCCACCACAAAAAGAGCTGCTATAAATATTTATGTACATGTGGGGCATTTTCCCATTTTTATGATGTCTTTGGGATACAGTCCTAGAAGTGCTATTTCTGGGTCAAAGGGTATGCACATTTTTGTAGCTCTTTGGGTATAGTTCCAAATTGCTGTCCAAAATGATTGGATCATTTCCCAACTCCACCAACAATGCATTAGTGTCTCAGTTTCCCCACATCTTCTCCAACATATATCATTTTCTTGTTTTGTCCTGTTAGCCAATCTGATAGGTGTGATGTGGTGTCTCAGAGTTGTTTTGATTTGCATTTCTCTAATCAATAGTGATTTAGAGCATTTTTTCATGTGACTATAGATGGCTTTAATTTCTTCATCTGAGAACTGCCTGTTCATATCCTTTGACAATTTACCAATTGGGGAAGAAATTGTAAATTCTTAAGGGCAGCAGCATATCTGTCTTTAAACATAGGACTAGATAGGAAATAGGCACTAAATAATCACTATTAAAATTAAATGAAAATCTTTAACGTAGAAAGATGCAGAATAGACTTTGTAAATATTTTGCTCTCTCTCTCTTTC